CTGGCTTCGCCTCTATGCTTGGCTCGTCTAGATACTCCACCGGAATAGAGCTTTTAAGTTGATGGTCGAGGGCGGAGCCTAGGCCGACTAATGTGTCCACGTGAAAGCTGCATGTGGAACTTGAGTGAAGGTGTAAGTCTAAAACGCCTCAAGCAGTCTGGCTAGTGATTAGCTGGGAATCAAAATAAATTGCGAGCTTTTTCACCGCCAAGTCTTTTTTCCATTCGGAGGCCTACTAGTACGGTCTCGTATTCTGCTTCATTGTTGGATACTTTGAAGCCTAGAGTGATTACCTATTTGGGTATCGAGTGATTGCCTGTTTGGGTATCGAGTGATTGCCTGTTTGGGTATCAAATCGTCTAGGGTGACAAGGACTAAGCTTGCTCTTGAACCTTTGTAGTTGGATATGTCGTCGACATGCAAATGCCAAAAGTCTCCATCGGGTGGAGCAGGCGCGGCTAAGGCGTGCTCGACTACTTCCAGGGTGTCGTTAGGCCACTCTGTTGCGTATTGAATGCGTGGTAGAGAGCTGTGGAGCTAGGGCCATGTTGCACACATAAGATGCTTAACTGCCAGTATTGGGCCATTCTAGAATTGAATTATGGAGTGAAGGTCGGCTAGGGCCGTGTGACACGTAGCAGGAAGTGGTGTTCAACTGCCGATACATGTTGTTCCTATGTATAATCTTTTGGGACGACAAGGACAAAACTTGATTCCAAGTGTGTCCTTCCAATGTTCATCTGCCATTGGCGTGTCTTTTGGGCCGAGTTATTGTGTTCATCAAAATACTTTGTATCTGCCAAAGTCTACGCCTTTATCGTCGCGCATTTGGATTGGGCAGAATAGTGTGTTATGAGGATGACTACGTGCATTTGAAGGTAAAACTTGAGCTTCCGGGTTGCAACAACTATTGCCAAAGTTAGCTTTTGAATTTTTGATAGCATTGAAGAGAGTTTTTGAACTATGGAATACAGGTAGTCGGGCCCCCAGCTCTTCTCGCATGATGGTAGAGCTTATTGCTGCTTTAGATACCGTCAAACATGCAAACAAGTCCTCCACTGCTACCAATTTGGATAGTAGAGAGGTGATGTCAGGTACTTCTTCAAGTCATTGAATGTGCATTGGCGAGACTCGTCCCAAAGTGCATGCTTCTTTGCCAAAGCCATAGAGTCTGCTAGAGTTAGATCTTCTTTCATGATCAATTTTTCGAATAACGGGTGATCTGCTGGAAGTCCTTTTTGGAATGTTGTTCTAGCTATTGAGTCGTTGCATCCAATTATCCTTGCCTTCTCTGCTTTGAACCTTTTCATATAGTTGCAAAACGACTTCTTTGGATTTTTCTTGACGTTGAACAAATAGTAAGACTTCTTTTTTATTAAGCGATATGATGAATATTCTTTGGTGAAAACCAAAGAAGGTTCGTCGAAACTTCAGATGGATTGTGGCTGTAGGGTATAGAACCAATTTTTCCCCTCGCCTTATAGAGTGGTGGTGAATATCTTGCATATGAGATCGTCGTTGTTTCGATAGAAGATCATTACGCTTAGTTAGTGTTTTAAGTGTCTCTCCGGGTCTTCATCCCCTTTGAAAGATATGAAATGTGGCATGCTGAACTCGCATGGAGGCTCTACCTACTCGATCTCGTCCGTGAAGGGTGACCTGCTTATGTTGGTCATGTTCCATCGTAGTGCCTCGTCGGTGACCTTGTTGCGTTGGAAATTGCACAATTGCTTGGTCAAGAATCTTTTTACTTCTTCTTGAATTTGCCTTTGTTGGGGGTAACGGAGATATCGGCTGCCCCTAGCCATGACTTGCTGGTCTAGGCTGCTCTTCCACTTGTTGGCTCGTCTATGCCGCAGATGAGGTGCGTGTGGTGTGTTCCTAGCAGGCGAGCGAGTTCTTTGTAGGCTGCCGGTTAAACTTGAGTAGGATTGAGTGACTACTTCTCTCCATCCATCGTGCTACATACTCTGATGTGAGGTAGACGATGCTCATTGCGGGCTTAGCCACGAATGAACACTTCGCCTGGAAGGTTGCTCATGTTGACTATCGGAGTGTGACCCCAACCATGATTGTATGCTAGTTCGTAAGCCTAGTCAAGAGTGCATGATCCTCCACGCGCTAAGACGATAGGGGCTTAATCGGAAGTGTACACTGCCTGAACTCTCGGTTTGTGGATGGTTGAGTGGCTGCTTACCGGGACACTTCTATAGAGGTTTTTTGTCTTCCTTTGTCCTACTTCGGAACACCTCATCTGGGGCATGTTGCATCTCGGTGCACTGCAAAAGTTGGTTCACCAAGGTCATCTGTTGTGCAAGAGCACTTGTCAACTTTATGACTTGTCAAGACAAGTGTTGTTCTCTATTTGGGTTAGAATAGCTTGAAAGGAATGCGTCACCTTGAGCAGTGGAAGTGTGGTGACTCTGGGCATGAGATTTGAGTTGGGAAATATCAAATTCGCAGAAAAATGTGATGAAAATGTTCCCGGTTCGATCGTCGGTCCAAAAATTTGGAGCCTGGATGATTGAACTAATCTTAGATCGATTTGGGCTGTTTGGAAGGCCACGGAAATAGACTGGGTGGCGGAAGCAGGCTGGGCCACGAAAGTGGGCTGCTCGGCGAGAGCAGGCTGAGCCACGAGAGTAGGTTGCTAGGCGGAAGCAAGCTGGGCCACGAGAGTGGGCTGCTCGGTAGGAGCAAGCTGGGCCACGGAAGTGGGCTGCTCAGCGTGTGGTGCATGTGGGTGCAAGGCTAAGGCTCAGCTTGGCAATGCGTTGGGCTCACGTTAGACCTCGTCGCGGGTGGCCACCGCGATGGTTCCCGTGGTGGAAACTCATGGTGGTGGTGTTGTTCCACTTATTGTCACATTTAGCCTTATAGATAGCCGCAATCCCATTTTTTAATATTGAAAATTTCACTTGTTGAATTTTCTAAATTTCTAGCCATTGTACTTCTCTTTTATGTTTTATCAAACAATTTTTGCAAATAGAAAATTCTAATAATAAAAACGTACGAAAAATCTACAAATGGACAAGAAAATAGAAAAACCTTAGATGCGAGAGTCTTCTATGAGTGTGGAACTTAGCTCTCAATGAAAGCACCAATTTGTGGATGCAAATTTCTTCCTCCTTGATCTTGGACAAAATTGCACCTACAAAACAATTAACACCTTTGGTTAAGGTCAAAAGCTTCACGCGCCCACGATGAATGGGGGAGCTTTGGCTGAAGAACCTTCAATGCCAAAATTAGAATTTAGAGAGAAAGTGTTTGAGAATTTTAGCACGAGAGTTGGAAGTAGTTTTTGGAGAGAATTGAGAGCTATTTATAGGGATAAGGCCGACCCTATTAGGAGAATAGGGACTGACCATTTGGGGTATTTTTTTGGTGTAATTTGTGGTTAATTAGCCATTAATAGATTAATTAGGTAATAAATCCATTAATTGACTAATTAACATAATTTGAAATAATTTGGGAGTTATGGAATATTACCTAATTGATTAGCTAATCAATATAATAAAAAGGGGAAGATTTGGAGAGGTTCCTTGTGTAGAGGATTGGATGATGATGGATGAGATAGGTTTTGAATTGTTTACCTATTTTGGGCATTTTTGACTTGGTTGAGTGATGATTGTCCGCTGCTCGAGCATATGAATCTTGATATGCCTCAAGGATAATTTTATCTTTTTATTTAAAAATTCACGTGTCGCCTTGTGATTATTTTTGGTTCTATATTAATATAATAAGCCTTTTAATAATTAGGAAGTCTAAGATATAAGGGAGCGTGCTTTTGTTTACTAAAATATTGGCGGGAGCCAATTTCCTTCCGTCTACCAAAAAAAAAAAAATTCCTTCCCTACGCCATTTCAACTAGACAAAAAAGCCTCATCAAATCTTTCTAGTTTATTTTTCCTAGGCATTAGCCGAAGTCTTTTGGGAGAGAGATTTTTAAATGTGACTGGTATACAGGGTAGTACATCAAATGTTATTAAATAAATTGTGAGATATGTGTGCTAAAAAGTTAATAACTTAAAAACTAAAATTTCCCACCATTCTCATTAAAACACTTGGTATACCACTTATATTTCCATCACAATTAAAAATTTCTCCTTCTGAGGGGAGTTTTGCCTACGTGGCACACAAATTGGACTTGTCTTAACATTTCTAGGCAAAAACTCATAATTTCGTCGTTTACACATCTCTGCTTAACTTTATGATTTTATTCTTTTTTTTTTTTTAATTCAAATGCTAGAAATGTCTAAACTGTGTAAGAAGAGGAGAACGCAAGGTCTTTAGTGACCTATTCTTGTGAGTCATCCTCACTAATCCAACGAAATGGGAGATTGGCCGAAGGGAAGAGAAGGATAAGCAGGGGCTTGAGGAATAATGCGTATACTGCTAATTATTGTGAAGCTTAATCAACTCTTTCATTTTCATCTGCATGAACAATATGTATAATTGAGCAATACATGCAATATATAAAACAAGAAAAAATTTGGAGTTCATGCATAATTGGTGAATGTTTACATGATGTCAGGACATCAAATATCAGTTCCATGTTTTAAAATAGGGAGTTTTAACGAAACACTCCTGGTACTGTTCATTTTTAACGAAAAACTATATTTTTTCATTTCTTTACTATTCACTACACTTTTATTTGTCATTTTTCATTAAAATTAAAGTTTTTTTAGACTTAAAAGCTTTTTCAATATTAGTTGTAGAAAATCCTTCTGTTCCTTAACGCAAAACGTGTTGCAGTATGAATTCAGCGAGAGAAGAAAGAGAAATCAGCCAAAGAGAAGAGAATGGAGAGAATGGCCTGAGGAATTATATGGACCCAAACAGAGTAGTTCGGTTCGTTTTTTGGATCCAACAAAGAAAACCCAAATTTATAAGTACCAATTATGTTTTGGGCCGAAAAGGAACTAACCCCAAAAAAATAAAAAATAAAAGCACTTTCAAGAAGTTGATGGAATTGGAATCTGACGGAACCCTCTGTTTTTACTTTTTCTTCTGGATAATTGCAGAAGTCTCTGTAACTCTCGGAGAAATCTTCTATGCCATCCTATATATATGTGTACACCCCAGCCTGATTAGATAGAATCGTCTGAAGCAACCAAAGCAAAAATACCTCACTCAAATCCTTCAAATTTGATACCCAGCATCCAATGGCTCTCAGTCTCTTTGGCAACGGCCGACGAAGCAGCGACTTCGACCCCTTCTCTCTCGACATCTGGGACCCGTTTGAGGGCTTGGGCACTCTGGCCAACTTCCCCTCCTCCGCCCGTGAAACCACCGCCATAGCCAACACCCGCATCGACTGGAAGGAGACCCCGGAGGCCCACATCTTCAAGGCGGACCTCCCGGGGATCAAAAAGGAGGAGGTGAAAGTGGAGGTGGAGGACGGGAGGGTCCTGCAGATCAGCGGCGAGAGGAGCAGGGAGCAGGAGGATCAGAACGACAAGTGGCACAGGGTGGAGAGGAGCAGCGGCAAGTTCGTAAGGAGGTTCAGGCTGCCGGAGAACGCGAAGATTGATCAGGTGAAGGCGGCGATGGAGAATGGGGTGCTGACTGTGACTGTGCCGAAAGAGGAGGAGAAGAAGCCCGAGGTCAAGGCCATTGAAATCTCCGGCTAAACTAAACTCGCATATGTTAAACCTCGGCTACTTTTGGGCTTAATGTCGTGATTAAGTGAAATAATCATGGTTTGTTTTTTGTTGTGGTGTTAGTTACTGGGTTTTGTATTTCCGAGTTTGTGTGTGTCAAACTTAATGTATGGGTTCTTCCTCTAAAATATTATATACCTTCATCAAAATTTTGTACATTTTAAATTTGTATTTTTTTTGGAAACTTGATCTTCTTTGGAAACTTGACTGAAAAACGAGAAGAATGAATTAGGAGAAGCAGCGCCCACGGGTTTTGAATGGGAAGATCGAAAAAATACAAAAAATAAAAACACATAAGCTGCAGTTATTTTATTTAATTTCGGTAATTAACTGTTAATAGACACAGAAACCTTAATTAACTAATTAATCAACCAGAGATCTCAATGGACCTGACATCCACCTTCTTGGCCTTCACCTTAGGCACAGTGACAGTCAGCACTCCGTTTTCCATCCCCGCCCTCACCTCCTCCACGCTCGCCTTCTCCGGCAGCCGAAACCTCCTCGTGAACGTCCCGCTGCTGCGCTCCACCCGGTGCCACGTGTCCGTCTTCTCCTCCTGCTCCCTCTTCCTCTCCCCGCTGATCTGGAGGATCCGGCCGTCCTCCACCTCAACCTTCACCTCCTCCTTCCTCAGCCCCGGCACGTCCGCCTTGAACACGTGCGCCGTCGGCGTCTCCTTCCAGTCGATGTGCGCGTGGGCGAACGACTCCGTTTCGGACCGGGACGACAGGTCCGAGAGTGAGCGGAACGGGTGGTGGACCTGGTGGTCCCACAGGTCGAGTGAAAACGGGTCGAACACGCCCGATCGGCGCCCGAATGGGTTCGGAATCAGCGACATCGTTCGAGAATCTTCTGATTAATCAGGCAATTTGGAATTTGACTTTTCGGATAAGGAGCGGTTTCGAATTTGGGCGAATTTTATAAGTCAGTGATTAGATTTCTAGAGAGTTCGATTACGCGGCACGTTCTCCGCTTTCATCACGAAACATACAGGCCGTTACATATTGGCAACTTTGTAAATATTACGAGGTAACAACTATTCATCAAGGCCCAATGGCCCAAGCCCATGCCCACTTATCTCATTTTTATTGAAAGTATGACGTGCAACATTAATATCTCATTTCATTTTGGGTAAAAGATGTTAGGGCCCAGAAAAATTCAGTAAGAAGCCTAATTGTTCTTGGAAGCCTAATCACCATATATTTGTAGCAAATCAAGCTCAAATTCATGCGTAGAGTCCAAAACGAAGGATATGCAAATTCACAATCATGCCACGCCTAAATAAATTATAATTCATAATTCGAACATTCGAACATTCAAAAAATTACAAAACTACGCGTATTCATTATGTTAGGATCTATCAAAACAAGCTTATAATATTAATACATTAAAATTTGAATTCAAATCACGTCAAGCTACTCTTCACCCTACATTATTAAGTTGGCCCATGTCACATAATGGGGCTTGCCAAAAGAGTTGTCGTGTGGACGATTATAAAAGTTCCTTGGGTTTATGTGGAAGTCAAGCTTGTGGATATTTTGGGTTGCTTGGGAGCACCAAACTTCCAGTCCCACAACTTTAGTTTCACGTGTTAAAGCTGTGAGAGATAATTCCCCATCGATTTCTTTACAAACCAACTAAAATACTTCAAACCTGACCAAATTCAAAAACCTAATTTGCCTTGATTTATGCGTTGACAGAGTATGTTCTTGAGATGTGCACCTCGTTGTAACGTGTTGGAAGAACCTTACCATTTTAAGACAGAAAAGAAATCAAAGAAGAAAATACAGGAGGAGTATAGCCAAAAATGAAACTTTGGTGTGGGACTTGGTGCAAGAAAGAAGGAATTCTGGGCAAAATGGTTAACCTAGCCTTCACGAGGCTTCTAACTCTCTACAATAGTACCCCAAAGAGGCATGATGTACCTACAACAATGGAAAAGAGAAGGGAAGACTTAACAAAACAAGAAGTGACAAACCTAAGGGATTCTCCAGTTAGGATTTTGAGGAATTCCCCCGTCGATCAATTGAAGCCTTCAACACGCTTGAATGGGGGATGGACCAAGCAGGCCAAGCAATCTCTATGTGCTGCAAACCCTAATTCATGAGCTTTAGCCTTTCCTTCATTATGACCTTTGCCATCATGCCTCCTTTACCCTTCAAAATTACCCATATTAGAAACCCTAATTAGGCACTTCAAAACCAACAATCTCTCACGCTAAACTAGGGGACTTTTAGCTCCCACATCACACATTACTCATGCAAGTTATAATTTGTTGTTATAGTTATTCAGTCATTGCTAATAGGGGTTGTTGGTTTATCTGGAATATCTCCTAAGACATGCTTTTCTATTGAGGTGTCTCAAGGCCTGGAGTCGGAAACAAACCAGGGGAGTTAGACCTAGTTTGGGAGTGAGGTGCTTAAAAAAAAAAGCACCCATGAAAAAAAGCTGTGAGGGTTTTAGGTGTTTGGTAAACTGAAAAAAAAGGCTTATTTTGGAAGCTGCTGTGAGAATAAGCTGAAATCAAAGGAAAAAGCTGAAGCTGCTATTTGCAGCTTTGGAAAACTGGCTTTTTTTCAAAGCACACGGAGCTACAGTGCTTCTTTAATGAAAAGACCCACTATTAGACTGCTTTTTTTTTCAAAAGCACTTTTACAAAAAAGTTTACCAAACACTCTGCTGATTTATTTCACAGCCGCTTATTCTCACAGCACAGCCGCTTATTCTTACAGCAGCTTTTTTTCAAAGCACAGCAATACCAAACCAGCCTTTAAGCGTCCCAAAGCCCAAGTTCTGCTTGATCAAAAAACGTCCCTAAAAATCATATGTAGGTACTTCAAATTTAGTTTTGTGAGTTCTCTTGGAGATGCTCTTATCTACCTACCGAATATCAAAACTACATAACAAATAATAATTGTAAGATTCGCTCAGTTTTTTGTTTAGTGATACTCTTTGTAAAACTATGTACAAAATAAAAAAAATCACGAATTCACAATTCTTAATCGCTGCTATCGCTGTGTTCCGAATCATATTCAACTTCGAGTGCAGCGACTTTCGAAGCACTAATTCTCCATGAAGCGGATCGAATTTTGTAGGGCAATTTGGAATGTGCACTAGTGACCATGGCACCACATTTGCCTTCCTCTTCTTCTTTCTTTAAGTCACCGGGAGGCAAGAAGCAGTCCATGGACAAACCCTTTATGTTAAAATCAACTTCCTCGATTTCCCAAGCCTCCTCCATTCGCGTCCTTGAATGACCTTCCGTGCTGTCACCTAACCTAAACAACGATACACATGTCTTGCCCCCGTGCGCAATGCTGATGCCTTCAACATTCCGGTAGTCTTGGATGTAGGACTCCATTGTGGTCTCCCAAAAGATGCTGTGGTCGTTGCCGGCGGATTTGATTCGGAGGAGATGGGAGTCCTCTAGTTGGACAAGGAGGCCGGTTTTTTGGCTGAAGTAGCCCCAAACTGTGTGCCTTATTATCTCAACGTTGGAGCTGCTTCTTGCTTTTAGGGTTGAGGGTTCCGCTTCTAGTTTTAGTATGAAGCAGTCTTCGTCCTTGATTGCTTTCTCTCCAATGCAAACTGAGTTGCTGAATAAGTTAGCTGTTGACCTTGGATCAAGACCCTGTTTAGTAGAAAAAAATAGTATGATTATTTTGTGTATTAAGGTATTTAGTTGTCCTTTTTATTTTTATATTTTTAAAGAAAATGACTTTTGAAAACAAGCAAAGATAAAAAAGGGCTATATAGTTAGGTAAAGAGTGGCAAGAGACGTGCAGTTTTGGCCCACATGTGGGCCATAGAATTATGCTATGGACTAATTGGATGGGGACGGACCAACTTAGAAGTCAGTATTCTCAAAAGCAAAGTCAAAAAAAAACCAAACTAGAGTGTGGAATCCATAAAGTACACAAATCACCATTAGAATTAGTGAAAAGTAGAATTAGTGAAAAAAGTCCCCAAAAACACGCTTTTGCTAGACCTAATGAATTACCTAAAGAATCAGATCTTATAGATTTTGAGATTCACATGCATTAACGATTGATTATAATTTAATTAAGTTTGATAGAAGTTTTTATTTGTAATTCATAATCGTTGATACAATAGCAGGCTCAAATATATCAATGATCTACAATTAAGTTATGGAAGCCTGAGTGGTAATTTATTTTGTTCAAATGGTGAAAATAAAAGAATAACCAATTTTATTTATAAAAAAAAAAAAAAAAAAAACTACTCGGAAAGGGAGAGGTGGGAGTAGGGATGGGCAACGGTTATGGCGGGCGGGTAACTGCAGTTATTTAATCATAACCATTTATTCTCATACCCACATAACCGTTTACCCGTTGGGTAATTGTCTAAACAGTTATACTCATACCCATAACCATTTATAAACGGTTAACCATACTCATAACCCTGTACCCATTTAACCATAACCGTTTAGTACATGTTTATCCATTTATCATTTTTAAATCTGTTTATCTTTTCTTTTTTACCATTTACTCATTTTTCACCCGTCTACGTGTTTTTTTAACAACTTGAAAATTAAAAAAGAAAAATTTGTCATAATTTTATTTTTTTAACAATTAAACACCGTTATAGGTACATTCATTATACATTTCCGCATTTTAATTTTTTAAATCCGTATACCATTCCAATAATTGAAATAATAGTTTATAGATGATATTTTTAATTGTTAGCAATGAAGGTAATATAAAATTTGCTAAGTATTATTGGGTTACGAAAATTGTTAAAAGACAGTATTCTTGGGTTATTTGACTCGGAATGTAAAATATTAACATAATATATATAATGGACCATGAAATTTAAAGTGGTTAAGGAAAACTATATTATATTAGCTATAAAAATCATGCACTATAGTCAATAGCATTAATCTAAATTTTGTCCGATAAGGAACATGGTTTGTGTTAATTTTACATATATAAAATAAATGGGTAAATGGTTATCCATTTATAACCGCGATTAATACTCATAACCGCCTATTTAAATTTCACAGGTAAACGGTTATATCTATAACTGTAACCGTGAAATTTAAATGGACGGGTAACCGCGGTTACCCATAACCGATGACTATTTGCTCATCCCTAGATGGGAGGGGTTAGTACCTGGAGGAGACGCCGGAGAGGACGAGGCGGGCCACGAGAGGCATGAGAGTGGTGCCATGGCGTTTGGCGCCAAGCCACCTTTCCATCACTCCCTGCACTGATCTTGCAACCAGACACCACCAATTCCAAGCACCAAAGCTCTGGTCTTTTCTGCCACAGCACAAACCCACCCATCTCGCCGCCGCCGCCAACTGATCTCAACAAGCTCTTAACCTTCAACTTGTTCTTACCACCATTCAAGCTCCTCTCTCCAGTACAAAACTCTGATGCCGCCATCTTCACCTTCCCCATTGCGTACATGCTGTCTACTGAATTCAAAGCCTTCTCTCCTCCCACTGCCGCTATGTATTGCTTCATTAAGTACTTAGCCATCGAAGATTCCTACAAATCATAAAACACAAAAATAATTAAGGAACTTCATATGTGACCAAAATTATTTATATGCAACAAAACTTCGTGTGACTTGTCATAATACTGTCTTACTAGTTATAACATAAGGTGTTCATGTTGTCAGACTAAGAATCTGAATCATTAATAATATTCGTTATTTTCTGAAAGTGTGATCCAAATTTCGGTCTAGCAACATAAGCATTAATAATTAGGTATAAGTGACTTACAATGGGTTGATCTTTCATGGCGTGGCTAATGGGTTGCTGGTCGTTGGGAATTGGTAATGGAATCAGAGGGGCTCCAATGACTCCAAGCAAGAGCTGGACTTCGGTGTTTTTGCTTCCAAAAACCGCGTTGGCTGATTGTGATCGGTCGTTGTTTGAGGGTTTCATCCACGACTTCATGTTGTGCCATGAAATGGTGGCGTTCTTGTGATTGC